TTCCCAGGACTTGGAGACTGTCAAGGTCGTCTTGTAGGGCACGGGCAATCCTCCTGGCCCTCTTGATCGTCCTATCGAGGAAGACAGTCATCAGCAAAATGCCAGTCCTCGACTTTACCCTAGACGGTAGGTCGTTGATTGAAAGCGAGGAAGAGCAGAGGACCTAAGACACTGCCCTGGGGCACTCCGGAGAGTGACAGAGGATGTGTGGTAGTGTGACCTTCCAGGACCACGCACTGTGTTTTGCCAAAGAGGAATCCTTGGACCCATTTTAATGTGTTGCCTCGGACCCCATAATTGCGTGTGTGTGAGACCTTGTCGAATGCTTTGCTGAAATCGAGCAGGATAGCGTCTATTTGTTCATTTTTGTCAAGTCCATTAATTATTGTTTTAATACATATTTAGTGAAAGGCCTATAATTCAGTGAAATCCTTGTTAGAGATTGCGGTAGTTAAAAGTATAATCACAATCCTGAAAACTCGCGCGTGAATTTTCAAATGAATATCTTACATAATTTTGCAAACAGAATCATAACAAGGAATTTTCCAAAGCTCAAAAAGGTTTATATAACTTCAATCGAAATTCAAGCCCCCCCCCCCCCCCAAAAAAAAAAAATGGCTATTATAGGTCTACTTCATTTTCTTGTACTCTTTTTTCATGTCCTGTTACAATTTCCGGAAAAGTACTCTTTGGCCATTTTTTCTGTGAAGTATAAAGTGAACCTTATTTAGCTTCGTGATTTGACCAGTTATAGTGATTTAGTATTTTGTATGAAAGTCAAAATAATACTTTTTTTATGTTTTCCTACCTTTATGAAAAATAATTAATTATTTCACCTTTTGCTTTGAAATCACGTTAAATCCATTATTAAAATAAAGCTTAACAAGTGTTTGTTCCTGCGAAAGAAGAAAAATGAATCTTAGGCAATATGTGTTTTCAAGATATAGGTCATAGAAGGTGGCTTACAATTATGAAAACTAAGAACGCCTTCAGTAATTGCGTAAATTGATCTTGCACAGGAATTCCTTCTTTGCAAATGAGCTATACAATTCCATCAAATAATTGACTGTTATTTAAGTTGAAAAATGGAGTAAAATAAAAACGAAATAGAATAATTATGCTTTATTTTGTTTTAACGTGTGTAATTTATATAGATAAACATGTTTTTCTATTGATTTCGCATTTATGTAGGAAGAAAAAACATTTAGTGGTGTTCAACTTTGACCCATAACCTAGCCGTTACGGTCTATTTATACAATGTGGAAATCACAAACTCTTTGCATGATGCTAGTAGGTCAGATTGTGCTAAAAATAGATGGACTGTGTTTGGCGTTTGCACTTTTGTCAATATGATTTGCCTTACTAATATGTAAAATTCGAAACCAGTCAACAGAGATGAGTGTACATGTACTGCTGATGTGAGATAATCAGCTGCAAAATTAGAAAGAGAAAGCTATAGAAACAGAGGCATTTGTCGTTAGCTAAGGTAAGTATATATTCATTGAAATTTGTGTGATGTTATGAATTATCAATACAGTCATTCTATTTGGATTCGTTTATTTTCTTTTTTTGAATATGTATCGTTACGAATTCTAACACTTTTTTTTCCGAGAAGTGATTCATGAATTAATTGCCTGTCATGTATACTGTATTATTAATTAAGTTCGTGCCGTTTAATTAAAGTGGTAACATTAAATATGTTTTTAAAAATCTACTTTTGTTTGGACCTTAATTGACATTAAGGTTTGTGGTTTTATGTACATTGCGTGTGTATTTTGTCTCTGTCATCTTTTTAACTAATTATTAAAATTAATGCATGACATTTTTTAAAAGGCTCAAATTCAGATCAGCGAGCCAGAAGGTTTTCTGACTTTAGTCTGATTTTAACCTCACAAGATCTGTCTCATTTTTCAGAACTTTGAATTGGTCAGTGTATCTTAATTCTAAGCCATTTTTGATCCCGAGATCAGAGTTTCATCATAGATCATTTAGAAAAAAATATTTATATATATAACCTTGGTCATATCCTGTTAATAAATCACAAATTAAAGGAAGGTAATAGATCACTAATTTAAGGAAGGTATGTTTAGGCATGTCTTTATTAACAATATCAACACGGATTTATAATTAAGATCCGTACGTGATATTAATTAATTACAGTTTCGTGACATATACTGTTATTTCATCATGACACAATGATACGTATACAAGTAGATACAATTAAGCAGTGGTTTTTCTAACTTAATTGGGAAGAGACCTTAGCCTCTTGATTCTTGGAAAAATATTGCAAAAAATCCTAATTTGGAAGTAAAAAAGCTTGTGTAATTTTTGATATGTGAGAAAACTGCCATATGTTAAAAAAATCTTAGATTTGGAAGAGGTCTAGCTTTCATAGGCATCTGTTATATTAAGGAGAAAAATCAGTGACAAGGTAGTTAATATTTGTGCCATCCTTTTTGATTTATATAAATATAATTTAATTAAAGTAAGCATACATACTGAATTCAATTCACAGGTTCAATGAAATGAGATATTGATTGTTCAACATATACATGTATATGTTTTTAAATAAATGTATATATATATTTTTGTTCATATGGTGTGTAATTTTGTAAATATTACTTGCTTTTACAGAGAATTTAACAAGAAAAAAGATGGTTAAAGATAAGAGAAGTGAAAGTGAGAAACATGTGTGTCAGTAAGTAAAATCTTTTACATCTTCAGTTTTAAATAACCACTTATTGAGTAAACAGTTTAAGCTTTTAATAATTAAACTTAAATTCTAGTAGGACAGACTAACAAGTTGCTGCTGTAGTTTGTGTATTGAAGACATTGGTATCTTTCAATCTGCTGACAGCTATTTCATGAATCTACCTGCGGGAATCAGTGCGGATCAGGATCAGTCTGTGCAATCAGACCATGGTCTGCACTATTTATGTTCGTGCAATCAGATCATGGTCTGCATTGTTTATGTCTGTGCAATCAGATCATGGTCTACGCTGTTTATGTCTGTGGCATCTGATCATGGTCTGCACTGTTTATGTCCATGCAATCAGATCATAGTCTGTACTGTTTATGTTTGTACAATCAGAACATGGTCTGCACCATGGTCTGCACTGTTTATGTTTGTGCAATCAGATCATGGTCTGCACTGTTTATGTTCGTGCAATCAAATCATGGTCTGCACTGTTTATGTCTGTGGCATCTGATTATGGTCTGCACTGATTATTTGGTCCACATATACATGTATACTAAATCTTCTTCTCTCAAAAAGATGAATGATTTTGTTCAGGTTAAAAGACACACAAGTCTATTTAACATCCATTTAGCATGATAAGGATTAAAAACTAATCCACGGCAACATTCTAGAATTAGATGTTGACAGACAACTATTATGTCCCCCTTTATGTAAGCATTATTCCAGACAAAGTGAAGATGGGCTCAAGGTTAGAATGGCAAGTAGTCAGCTGACTTTAGCCTCTCGAGTAATAAAAAAAAATCTTGAACAAACTTGTTGTTATTATATGTGAAATACAAAAGAGATTTACTAAATGTTACTAGATTGTACTAGAGAAATACTTATTAAATTATCATTTATGCATGAATAAAAGCAGCTTCCAACAGTTATCTAAAATTAATTGTACATAGTATATTCTAGATGTACAAAGTATATGTCACTCTTTTTTAAAATAAATTTTTCTTATATTTTAGACCTCGTGACAGGAGACACAACTTTGGTTATGGACAGAATCAGTCCAGTGTTCATGGCAACTTCCCTCATTCAGCTCCCAATCCATCGTGGGCACCTGCGTCTCAAAACCAACCTGAACTTTACCGGCACACACAAGCCTGGGGCTCGGTATTTAGGGATAGAGCTCATTTTGTAGAAATGCATTTAGTTTAGTAAAACTTTTCACTATTGATATATTGAATACCTAAGAATGTAATTGTGATGAAATTTTGTGAATTATTTTGAATGAGGATTCATGTCATTTATATACATTTGTATATGAATGATTTTTGTACTGTTTTTTGTATGATTATCAGGTGATAGTGAAATTGTGTAATTGTGCTATTTATATATGTGTAATGCAATTTATACATTTTATTTTTCTAAATTCCTATATATGTAATATGTTATGAGAGACTGAAAACATAATGTTGTGGGTTTTTTTAATACAAATACTTTGTAATGTTAGATCTCTGTTAATATGTATTATGTTATATTAATATGTACCTGTATTTTCAATATTATATTGTATGTTTTAAATGCATGTATGCCTATAATGCAAGATTTTTAAAAGGGTGTTTGTAAATAATTTATATTCTCTAATAAATGCACTAAGGGGTGTTACATTTTCCAAAAGGGCGGGTTAATCAAATTACAAAAAATGTTAAATATTGACAAGATAAAAAGACTATTATTTTCACTAATTTATATAATTATACTGGAATGATAAACAGTTTAAATTTGTGCTAGTTTCTTTGGATTTATATAAGTGGAGAGGAGGGGAGATTCATCAGAGTATGTACTGTATATGTTGTATTTGCTTGAGATCGAAAATAAGTGTTTGCTAGACTTAAGGTGCTACTTCCATCATAAGCATGGACATTATGCATAAATTTTTTGTTTGGTAATTAAGATAAAATTATGGTCAATATGATCTGAAGTTGGATTATTTTCGGCCAACACAAGTCTTTACAAATAAGTATTTTTCATGCTGTAAGAAAAACAAACCTAAAGAGCCCAACATCCAACATTCAAAATTTATTGGTGTGTTTCGCTAGATAGCTTAAGACCCGTAACAATTAATCAATTACATCTAAATCATTGCAAAAAAATAAATGAAACACAAAGTTTGTAATTGTTTGGTGTATTTTTTTGTATTACTTTTTTTCCCCATATTTTATTAAGAAACAAACTTGGACATTATACAAGTTTTTGATGTAAAGAGAACCTTAAAAGATCACATAATTCGCATAACATAATCATGATATAGAAAATAGTACAAATCATATTTGAAGAGTAAAATTTGTGGATTGTCATATGTTATGTTACTTTTTTTTTTTAAGCCATTAGAAAAACAAAACTGTAATATGAGCCATAAATAACTGTGCAATAACATATGGCAGTTATGATTACCTCTGTACTAAGTATTTTTTTAAATGCTTACTTCATACTGTTGGTGTTCTGTTTTTTTTTTACTGCCATTTAATATTAAATATATTTTGATATAATAAAAAATGAAATTATTATTTGCAAATATTCATCCGGTGATTGTTTTTTTTATTAAAATGTGTTCAATAGTTCCCATTTTATTCTATGATTTGTTTTTGCTAATAATTTGCCAGTGATTTCTTTTCAATATTTACCTCAATTTGACTAAAAGATATACTAAATTTATGTATTGTGTCTGTTTGTTTTTGTCACATATACTTTTATTAATTTCAATGCAATTACATTTTGTCAGTTATAATTTTCCTCACTGTTTTATACAAGAATTATACTTTATCTTGTGTAATATTGTCTTTTTGATAAGGGTGTATTGTTTTGGTTACCTCCCTTTTTCCTGTCTTATCATTATTTGATAGCATTTCAAGTATTCTCAGATGTCTTTTGATTTATATGCCATTATTTGGAAAAATGTTTGCACATAAATTTAATGCTGTAGATCATATCAAGAAAAAAATTCCTTTTTCAGATGACTTTTTTTGATTAAAGGCCCAATTTGCTAGAGAAATGCTACCAGTTTTATTTATCAAAATCTGTTGATTTTTGGTATCTTGTTACAGTTTTCAAAGAACTGCCCATTTGCCATATACATGAACAATTGTTTACAACTATAGTTCTGTTGGCAATGGATATAATTATAATGAATAAGTATTTTGCATGAAAGTCAAAATACTACTTTGTTTACATTTTGGTACCTTTACAACATATTACTGCAAATTCAACGCTACTTACTGAAGCTGTTTTGCATCTTACATGCACTAAATCCATTATAAAAACACAATTAAACACTTGTCAGACATTTCTGAAGAATTAAAAAATATTGATTTCTGAGGCATGATGTGCCTTTAATGCATTATTTTATTGTTGTCCTATGTCATTATAATATATATGGTGGTGTGAAATCTTTTGTCTAAATTTTACCTTTATTTCATAATTTTGGTGTATTATTTCTTATTATTAATTTTTGCCTTTATACACAACAAATGTATTAAAATTTTAGTTATTCTTTGAATTTTCACAATCATAATTATCATACAACGTTTTCCTGCAGTATAATTATCATATAGCCCTTCATGTACATATGTACTTTTCATCATAATTATAAAATATTTTTTTAACTTGGATAAGTTTGTCAGCTTCATGGCTACTATTTTTATTATATAATTGTGTTTTTTTCCCTGTATACTTTCCTGTCTTTATATTTAACCCGTATTTGTATTTGCTAGGCCAAGCATTACAATGTTCAAGCAAATCATTTAAATCGCATATTTACACTATTTTCAGGAATAATATTATTGTTGTCAATTATTATCAATTTTTATTTTGACCTAAATCTTTTCAAAAGTAGGTCATAGAATATTTGCATTTAAATTGGTATTTTTTTCAACACACTTGTCACAAGTTGTAAATTTGTTTTAATGCATTTGTGACTTTGGATTATTTTGTAATTTCATAAAATGTTATTCAATAGGCATGTATAGTACATGTACATATTATTCAGTTTCAAAATTTTCGCTTTTGTTTGCCATTTGCAACAGTTGCAACAAAATGGCTTAAACTTTTACCATTGACTGGATCTGTTGTATTTCTTCATTCTTAAAGGAACCCCACTGAGGTCCAAAAGCTCAAAAACAAGAAATTTTATAACATAAATCAGCTGGGGCACTTAAAACTGAAAGATATGAAAAACAATGATTGAGAATTATACTCAAAATGTCGATTACTTTTTTTTTATATGTAAATTCAGAGTGGGAAAATTGTATGAAAACAATAGATTTAGCAAGGAAAAGGATTAAGATTATCCTTTTAAGGCTCTGTATTGTTTCAGTTTATATTTTGCTTTAGAAATTTATAAGGTAGGCCAGTATGATCTCTGACTTGTTTATTCAGATTGCCATTAAGGAATGTATAATAGATGTTTAAATGTATTTATTCGTCATATTGGCGAGGCTATGTATATTTTTACCGACCTTACTACTTATTGACCTAACTAGACGTTAGCACTAAATTCTAATAGGCTATGTATTATATGCTAAATAAATTATATGAATTGATTTCAGTATTTGTTGATGTATTCTATCCCTATCAGTGATACATATTAGCCATTATGTCAACTTCACCAGATACTTTACAATATGATTGGTAGATTCATTTTTAGAAACTTTGTGAAGAGTTTTTGTATAAAATGTCTGTATGTTCAACCATACAGTACAATTTTTTAAACTCAGCAGAACACACGCTGAAAAGCAGACAACATATTGAAAGAGAACAATTTTAATTACATGCTGTTTGTTGGGCATCAGCTACATTAATAAATAGTCCATTACGTGAAAAAAGAAGCCTTAAAGGGACTTCACAGAGGTTTTTTTTACATACTTTGAAATACTTTGTCCGAGATTTGTGTACCACTTGATAAAGGTCTGCTCCAATAACTTGTGTGCTAAATTTTCAGATCATTCCCTCAAACAATTGTTCCAGGGTCAATATTTTTATTGTGCAAAATGACCCAAAAATGAAAGGCGTTACGTTTTTCACTCAGATCAGGCTAATAATCGCAAAAAAAGTTAATTTTCAATTTAGTTTTGATGATATAGAGGATATTAAATGAGTGTAGGTTCAAGGCTTAATTTGTTGATTAAGTTAAATAACATACATGTACAATGATTTCAATACATATATGATAATGAAGCTACACAAATATAATATTCTATTTATCACACATATCCAAAATAAGATCTGCTTACGTAAAAACAAACCGCTTTTTCAATGACGCGCCTAACATTTAGCGGGTCTTTACGATATATTTGTATAACGCAAATGACATCACATAAACATACATGTAGGGCCGTGTGATACCGTTTTTACGGAATCGCAAAAGAGGCATGCGATAAATTTCTTTATTATTTTTTGCAAAATTTTCCATTTTAACTGAAATATCTAAGTCAGAGGAATTTAATAGAAACACAACTAATTAAATATTTTCTCACATATTTTATTGACTTTTGTTTTGTGGTATAACAATAATAGCTAACATAATAAGTCTTTTTACAAAAAATAAAAAAATACAACAAGAAAGAACAATCATTTCAGAGGTGATCCTCTTGAAAAATTAGTAAAGTCTCACAAATACATGTATATACAAATATGCTATATACTGTATAGATCAGATATAATTATCATCTCAAGTAATAATTCCAACAAGTAATAAGGACTGTTTAACACGTAGATAAATCACAAACTGAATTAAATAATTCAATTAAAGTCATGGATAAATGTACTTCTAAATTTATTCACTTCCTTTCAAAATAAGACAAATATATATCATATACTTATAAATGAAATATTGATAAAAAAAAAATGAACATTTTCATGTTCTGTAATTTCACTATAAAAATTTGTATTGCATTGCAATGCATCATATTTTCCTTAACTGGATTTATTTTATATTCATTTTCACTGGTGTCTTGCAAGACTACTTTCTTCTAAATTTGGTCAATCCACAAAATTAAAGTAAGTCTTTTGAATCGAAAGGTGTAAAATTTTCAAATTTTATGTTTTTAGGCCATTGGTCCTCTGTGGAGTTCCTTTAAGAAACAACCTCTAAGATAACTAAATTAGTCATCAATATACATATTGGCAATCAAAAATCCCGCAAATCTCTTTTTTAATTAAAAACCCAAAATCTAAAAATCCTCTCAGATATTGGAATGTCATTCTGTAATGGAAGACTAACTTATTTATTTCTTAAAATCATCATTCTGTACCAAGAACAAAATATTTCTGCATGGTCGTTCAATTTAAATTATCATTTCTAAATTATGCTGCCGATAT